ATGTTTGGGATTACTATAGGCCGCCGGCACCGAACGAAAAAGGGGAGGGTACCCCAGGGTTATGATCTTATTTGTTAGACGGGGGAACCGTCGGCTTATTCTTTACCCCTTCGCTTTTTAGAGATTTTTATGGTTGGACGTTGTAGTCCGTGGCAGCCGTCAAAGTCAAACCCCTTGACTTTCGCCCAGGCCCAGGGAGGACTTACCCCTAGGACCACGAGAGACGACTACCACCACAGGTATAGACCTGTGTACCACCCACTCTGCATAAGGGTGTAGAAGAGGGTGTGTGATCCTCAACCGCGCATGGCGATTGTCCAGCGTCGAGAGATTAACCCTCAAGGCGCGTGTCAACCGACACTTGAGCGCCGAATGCGACCCTCGAGATTAACGAGGACCGCATAGGTATGGGTACCACGTGGTACGCCATCATTGCGACCCCTTGCGCACGCTTGCATTGCGAGTCGATATGGGTTAGTCCTACGTCCGCGCGGTTTTATGCTAAGTCTCGCGCGCGATGCCCATTCGATTTTCATGTTGGAAAGTTATGGGTTGGCTACCGAGGGGCTAGGAGCGTTGTCGCTTTGTTTGGGTTGTGTCGCCCCGTATGTGTTTGTATGTGAGTGTTTTATTTTTTGTGTTCGTAAAGTGGTGTGCGCGTGGTGTGTGGGATGCATCCTAGTCGACCGACGACGAGTCGCACCTGGGACCTCAGCCCCCCAGGATGTCGGTTCGCGGGCGGGTCCGATAGAGGCCTATTACTGCGCGTACCCCCTATGCTACAGCGAACGAGAGTCGCCCTCGGCTGGTCCACCTCTGCGATTGCAACTGATTAGCTTTCGTACTATGGACTGGTAGCTTGGCGGGGATACGCCCACCGAAGGGAGGTGACAAATCCCGTAAGGTGTAGGTAAGTCGTGCCTCGCATAGGCCCTATCCTGTCGTAGGGGCTCGCGAGAGGTATGGCTGTCGCACTCGGCCGGAGCGGCCTAAGGAAGCTCCATATATATTTGCGACGAGGATTTAGACCAACTCCTGCGTGATGCGGCCGGGAGGGTCCCGTGCTGTCGCGTGCGGTGTCGGACCGATGCGCTCGACAGCGTGGACACAATGTCCCTAAAGTACTCTAGAGCGTATGAACACATCTGAACGGTGTCTAGTGCAGGAGGGGATGAAATATCGAATGGATGCAGAAGCTCTTTGATGGGTGTTTGACTATGCCTAGTTAATAATGTGCGAAACGTAAGTTTGGTCATCCTATCATAACCCATGATAATAACCCATGATATTCCTAAGTTGCAAAAATTCCAACAATTTTGCTTATTTCTGTATTTCTAATTCATCCAATTGGACCATGGCGTCCCTCCTGGCTTTGGCCCAGAAGAAGTATGAAAAGGGGTCCTTACCCATACTAGATTCTGCTTGGGTTATTGTTTGGAGAAGTGTGCTTTCCTTCCAGTTTCTCCTTGCTGCCTTCATTCTAGAGAACGTAGTAAGTCCCTGTCTTATGATATCTATTCCAGTGTCGGCCCACTGCAGGGGGTCATGGAACAAATCCTTTGCCTCTCCCCATTTCTCCATGTGGGCTTGAACCCAACTGAGGATTCCTGGATCCTTGAGTAAATTTATGTTTGGCCTGAAGGGAGGCCTACGTCTGTCTAGTATTTCTCTTGAAATGATGTCCAGTGCGACGGGATGGTGATCCGACATAGTTGTCGGCATCACCTCGCACCAGGTGCTTCTGTCCCATGGGGTGCCCCTAATCAGGAAAAAGTCCAGTCTCTTCATCGGCCCCGAGGTGTGGGGGGTTGGGGGGGGGCTAAACCACGTGAAGCCATTCGTCAAGGGATTGAAAATTTTAAAAACATCAGTTAAATTTTGGGTCTGACAAAAGGAGGAAAGTCTGAGCGAGTCTGTCCTAAGGGGGGTTGCAGATACTGTGTCCAAACCGGGGCTTAGAACAGTGTTCCGATCGCTAGTGATAATCAGATTTTCAGCATCGGGGGTCTTACTAACCAATGTTTCAAGAAACTTAATTTTGTCGCCATAGTGAACTGGTGCATATACTGTCATAACCACCCAGTCCTCCTCCTCGATAATAAATTTCATCCAGGCCCATCGGCCTTCATAGTCTGCATATGAATTAGTGACATCGATGTCTAGATCCTTAGAGACCAGTATTGCGACGCCTCCCTTCGTACCCTCCGCTGGGGACCATATCTGAGGACCGTCCCACCAGCGTTGGATCTCTCGCAATTTGTCGCAATTCAATTTCGTTTCTCGGATGCATGCAATTTGCACATTTTCCTTTGTGGAGCCATGCTTTCTGCCGCGGGGGTTTTGGATACGGCCTGCTAGTGGCTTTTTTGCAGGGGCAATTATGCTCTTGTCTTTGCCGCCCAGCTCCTCTTGTCCCACGGGGGGTTGGGATTCTTATCGTTTTTCTGTTTGACAAAGGATTCCGATAAGAAGTACTTTGTCGCATCTGTTTGAAACAACCAATCTGCGACGTCCTGAGCAGAAAACTCGTCTGATAACGAGATATCCCTCAGGGTATCAGATGTAGAGTCCAGAAAGCGGGAGAGGGGCAACCAATATTATGGTTGCGCAGTTGCTCCATGTCCGCTGCTTCTGCCTGAAGGCGCAGAACTGCTATATGCAGAATTGTCTTACTTCTACTCGAGTTGGACACCACATGGCGGCCTCTCTTTGAACCCAGAAATATGGTGTACGATCCATGGCTTCTAAGGACTTCTTTTGAGACTGATGTGGTCCACTGGTCATCCAAGGGTAAACCCTTTGCTGGTAGAGTCGGGAGTGACAAGGACTCCTCCCCGTCTAGGTTAGTAGTAAGGACCATAGGACCGTGGACAGAAGGCGTGATCACCAATGGCACCAAGAGTTCTTTGATAAAACCCTGTTTTCTGTCTTCCCTCGTTAGCGTTCGCATGGGCTTGATAAAGTCCAGGGCCTGTTTCACAGGACGCTTCTGTTTGTCTGGTTCGCTGCTTCTGTTTGTCTGGTTCGCTGACTTTGACTTTACTCACTAGTTTCCCATTCTGCTTTTTTGAAGCTTTTTGCTTCTTTGCAGGGCATACACCTTGAGGGCTCTGAGAAGGAGGAGAAACCTTCTCCTTCGGAGTGCCCTCTATGTCCGTTGTCCCAGCAGGCATCCATTTCTCTGAGCTACCCACCGAGCGGAATTCTTCCCCGTTCGAGGGAGAAAATGTCTTTAATTCTAGGTTACCAGCTGTCCGACCGGCGGACGACTCCGGCGGACAACTCCGGCGGATGTCCCGGACCGGAGTGGTCCGGGATCCCAGACAACTGGATTTTTCAATTAAATAATACGAGAAAAAAAAAAAAAAAATGTAGCTGCGCTATGTGGGAAGACCCCACAAAACAAATTCCACCTCATTCCGAGCATAAACAAAAAAAAAAAAAAAACTTG